TGAAGCAAAATTCAGTACAAGATGATACTGTAACTCCATTTCTTTAGTAATTCTGTAGAAAAAAGAACTTTGTCTTTTCCCATCACACACCTGCAGTGACGGAAGTGATAAAGGGATGCAACTGCTACAGCTCTACTTACACAGTTCCTGTTGGGACCTTTCTGTTGAAGCGTTACACCAGGGGTAGGCAACCTTTCCCCTTTAAGGGCTGAGGGACTTCAGCTCCCAGAAGCCTCAGCCATGTAGGCCAATAGTCCCATGTTGGCCAATAGCTCCTGGGATTCTGAGAGCTGAAGTCCCTCGGCCCTTAAAGGGGAAAGGTTGCCTACCCCTGGATTACACAAAAGAGATGCTTTCTTGTGAATTAATTGGAGCAGGAGATGTAATGAATTGCTTCAGAAGAACAGTGTGCGTATGTGAATCAAACTCATGCTTATGATTGACCATGAACCACTGTTTTGTTACTGATTCGTCTTATGCACTCATGCACTCTTGGTGTTGCACTGATTTTCCAGCTTTGTCTCATCAGAGAGCCCTTTACACATTGATTTTTCCACCGAGGAACTTCTAATGTTGCTGTGCTTTGCAGGAGTGTTTGGATACTCCACACAGTGCACTGAGCAGTCACCCCTGATTAATCACACCACAGCTGTGACCTCTGTGAACTTATACCTGGTCTACAGATGTGGAGTGGCAGATTTCTCAGCTGGTAGAACACATTTCAATGTGTCAGGTGAGGTTACCATTAAAAAAATAATATAAAAATATTCCCACATAGAAGGAAGAGACTAGGTTCTAGCACAGATCCTTTGCTTGTTACCCTGGTTTCTTATTTGCTGGTACTGTAGCTTTTAAATGCCTAGTGTTAAAAATGTGCTGCTTTCCCTTTCCTGTGCTTTAGTTTAAAGTAGCATAGTCCATTCTTCCATCACAGAACTCTTAAAATCTTGCTTCTAGAACAATAAGTCAGAAGTACATTTATTTTTAGATTAAATACTAGTGTTGTAGTCTAGCAGAGAGCAGTGTGGTTTTAAAAAATAATATTTATCTAATGTACCAATGATTGGCACCATATTTCTGCCTGTTAACTACATCTGTTCGTTTCTTTTCACCACAGACTGGCAGCTAAACTCACCACACACTGGCAGCTAATATATTGCAGACTGACACCAGACCACCTTCTTGAGTAGCATTCAGCTAGATCAGAGCTACTCTAAGGCACAACCAAAAGGCTCATGTCCCCTGCCACCCACCCACTGGCCTTGTCTTTTCCAGTTCAGATGATGCAGGCCAAAACCCTGGGACAAGGATTGACCCCAATCCTGCCAGACTGGACATAGATCTGGTGGATTTGGTCTGATCTTGAGGTGAACAGCCTTTAATCCAGGACAATTTGACCCCTGGTTTGCTGTGGAGTTTACTGAAAACTCCACGCCAAACCCTGGCTATTTATAGAGCCCCTATACTCCTTACCTTGCTGCACCGTCACTCGTACTATCATCGCATGGGTGCAGCCAGGTGCTGTTTCTGTATCAGATGCAGCAACAGGGGGTTCCTCATTACCAGCAACAGCACAGAAAGGTAAGGAGCACATACTGATAGTGGGTAATAGGCCCAGGAGTGGGTGGGTATGGGTGTGTAAACACCCACCTGTCCTCACACTGACCTGGGGACTGACCTGGGTGAGCACAAGGGTCAGAATAGTATGGGCTCAGCACATGATATCCTGGCCTGTCTGCCCAGCCCCAGAATGGTAGTTCGTGGACCAGTGTTGATCTGTGAGCCATTAGTTGCTGGTCTGCAGAGAGTTTCCGAGGGTGGGAGGTGGGAGGGAAGGAAACAGTTGTAATCACTGGGCACAAAATTGGTGCTGGCCCCTGGCACAAAACATGGGAAAAAACCTGCTAGTCACTGGATCAAATAGCTCAAGAAACACAGAGTAAAGTATTGTGTCCTGCGTGTTAGAGAGATGAGGGAGTGATCCTTTTTACGAGGTGAGCCTTTCCCATGAACAGTACTTGTATTAAAATTTATCCTTTTTTTATAAAACAAGTCTATCTGATTAATAAGGGCAACTTTTTAGATACGCAGAAATTTTAGCATTGATTAAAATCCATCATCCATTTGGACTGAAAGTATATTTGATTTTTCATGATCTTTGGGTGCTTTCAGAAGGACAAATCCAAGTGCCATCAGTTAAAAGATGTAGTGCAGTTATTCTGTTTTTCTTCCCTAACAAATTTTTGTGTATGGTAAGAAAAAAATTTGGAAAAGGTAATGGAAAAGCTTAGAAGGTTTGTAAGCAGAAGACAGCAATGTCTAGACCAGGGGTAGGCAACCTTTCCCCTTTAAGGGCTGAGGGACTTCAGCTTCTAGAATCCCAGGAGCTATTGGCCAACATGGGACTATTGGCCAACATGGCTGAGGCTTCTGGGAGCTGAAGTCCCTCAGCCCTTAAAGGGGAAAGGTTGCCTACCCCTAGGACTCTCCATAAAATTCCATGCATGAAGCACAGCAATTGCACAATAAAAGCCTTGTCTGGAAGCCCTCTTGGTTTTCACGCTAATAGAGAAGGGAGGTTCGAGTGACATACAGGGCCTTGCAGAAATATTCATGCACAACTCTTTCATGCACATTATGTTGTGTTACAACTTGGAATTGAAATGAATTTAATTGGCATTGTTACTTGTTAATGTACACAAGATACTGAAGATGGTGAAAGTGCTAGGTACTTTTACTAGGAATGACAATAAGTAATCTAAAACAAACCAGCAATTGTGGATTCGTCCCTTATGCTATTATATGCCTAAATATGCTATACTGCAACCCAGTGCCTCCAAAATGCACAGAAATAGTATAATAGATTCCACCTTTGTGCAATTCTAGTGATACATGGTCTCATATTAAATATACCTGTTTCTGGAGGACCCCAGAGTCTTTTGGAGAGTTTATTTAAACAAACAGCATAATGTGTATACTAAGAAGATATCAAAAGTCTGGGATAAAGTTGTACAGAAGCACCAGTGAGGATCGAGTATATGTGCATATATAAAACTAAACTATGGACATCCTGTGGAACACAGTTAAATAAATTATTTTTAAAAATGAAAAGAATATGTCTCAATCATGACTGCCTAGAGAAGGCCATCCACCAAAACCAAGGGCATTAGTTAGAAAACCAACTGGCCAGTGATAATTCTAAAGGGGCTGGAGAGTAATTGAGATAGGAGAAGTTGTCCATGAAAGAAATATTACCTGGACACTCCATCAAATTGGACGTTATGAAAGAATAGTGAGGCAAAAATCATTGCTGAAACAAATTAATATCAAAGCCCATTTAGAGTTTTCAAAAATGTATATGGGACATAGAAAAAGTTTATCTGATCTGATAAGACAAACACTGCTCTTTGGTCCTGACCAGAAATTGTTGTGTGTGGCACAAAGCCAACAGTGCTCATTACCCTGAGAACACCATCTCCATGGTGAAGCATGGGGATGGCAGCATGATATTGTAGGGGATACCTTTCCTCAGCAGGAACTCAGAACCTGGTCAGTATTGAGGGGAAGACAGGGCTAAATATAGAGCAATTCTAGATTTATTTATTTATTTTAAAAACTGTTTCAGTCTATAAGAGGGCTGAGACTGAGGTAGAAATTCACCTTCCTAAACACACAGCCCAAATACACTGGAGTGATTTAAAAACAAGAACCTGCATGTCTTAGAATGGCCCAGACAAAGCCTAAACCTCACTCCCACTGAGAATCTGTGGCAAGTCTTGAAAGATTCTGTCCATCAGCAGTTACCATCCAACTTGATAGAGTTGGCATGATTTTGCCAAGAAGAATGGGCTAAAATAGTAGATCCACAAAGCTTACAGTGACTTACTAAAGAAGACTCACATCAGTGATCACTCCCTAAAGGAATTCTACCAAGTACTGACTGGGTATGTGAATTGTGAATATTTATGCAAACAACAAATGACGGTTTGTTTTTGTTTAATTTTGTGGCTCAGTAAAACTATTTCACATTTTCATAGTGCTGAGTATCTTACATATATCAAGTGGTAACAATTAGATTATTTTAAATGCCAAGTTGTAATAGAACAAAATGTGGAAAAATCAAAGGTGTGGTGGTGAAAAGCACCGATGTATATAAGTTGGAAAGCTAACGGCTGTAAAAATAGTGTGTCTGCATATGTTCCACTGGTCTGAACAGTTGCTGCTGTGTTGTTGTTAACTGCCCTTGAGTTGGCCCCGACACAAGGCGACCCTGTGGATAGACATCTCCAAGTCTACCTGTCCTCCAGGTCTTGTCGATTCAGGTCCATGGCCTCCCTGATTGAGTCTAGCCATATGGTGTGAGGTCTTCCTCTTTTTCTGCTACCATTAATCTTACCCAGCATCATTGTCTTTTCTAATAAGTCATGCCTTCTCATGACGTGGCCAAAGCATGACAGCCTCAATGTAATTAATAATCTTGGCTTCCAGGGAGAGTTCAGGCTTGATCTGTTGCAAGATCCATTTGTTTGTCTTTGTGGCCATCCATGGTCTTCTCAGCACTCTTCTACAGCACCACATCTCAAATGAATTGATTTTCTTTCTGTTGGCTTTCTTCACTGTCCAGCTCTTGCACGCATGCATGGTGATGGGGAATACAATGGCTTGGATGATTCTTAACTTTAATGCTCAGTTGTATTTCTTTACTCTTTAGGATCCTGTCTAGTTCTTTCATCACTGCCCTTCCTAGTCTTCTTAGTTCTTGACTGCGGTCCTCGTTCTGATCTATGTTTGTTCTAAGGTATGGGAAGTCTTAACTATTTTGATTTCTTCATTATCTAGTTTGAATTTATGTAGATCCTCCGTGGTCATCATTTTTGTTTTCTTTATGTAAGCCTGCCTTTACATTGCCACATGGTGAGCACTGTGTGTGGGTAAAATGGAAATTATGAGGTACAAATGTATTTTAGTTATATTTTTAAGTGGTTGCTATGTTGTTTCGAGCCAGCGTGGTGTAGTGGTTTGAGTGTTGGATTATGACTCTGGAGACCAGGGTTCGATTCCCAGCTGGGCCACAAAACTCACTAGGTAATCTTGGGCAAGTCACACTCTTTCATCCTCAGAGGAAGAGATAGTCAAACCTCCTCTGAAATCATGTCAAGAAAATCCCATGATAGGTTTGCCAATAAATTGGAAATGACTTGAAGGCACACAAAACAGCAATGTTGTTTTAATACTGAGATGCTTAGAATATGAGGCATTTAATTGTCAAATGGCAACAGCATTCAGTATATCCGAGATGGATGTAAAAATTAATAAGAATAATAAGAATATGAGGCATTCTGTATGTGCAGTGTGTGTATATGCACACACATTTGGCTAAGCTTGGATAACGAGATTGAGATTGTCGGTGCTACCACATCTTTAAGCAGGCTGAATTAAATAGCAAGCATCTTCACAAGTGAGCTAATGCCCTCACCATATATTAATTCTTCTTTCCGCCTACTTATCTCTCATGACAGAAAGTGGAAATCTCCACTGGTGAGGATGGGAAAGACCATCTCCCTTTGACATCCGGGTGATCTGCCTTATCTGTACTTGTCTCTTTCTTCCCCCCACCCCCATGTCAGATAGGGCAGATGGTTTACCCCAATGTAGTCCTATTCATTGAGACTTTGTTAGCATGTCAAGCTGTGCAAGCTGGGCTGCCTCTGCTGCCATCTCTTCCTCCTCCTCCTGCTCTGTGTGTCTCTGTGTGGGGAGGAGGAGGAGGAGGAGGCGGGGGTTTCCTTAGAATAGCACACACACAGCCCAGACAGAAGAAGGTGGAAGGAAGGGAGAGGATTGCTCCTCACCTGCTTAGCAGGAGGCAAGGTTCACCATTACCCGGAAGTTCTTCCTTGTGAGGAGGTGGGAGGGGGGTCTTTTCTCCCTTGATGCAGTGAGCATCCCTCACCTCCTCCTTGCCTCTGTTTGAGAGGAGCCCACAGAGATGGAGAAATGCTTCCCCCCTGGCACTGACTCAGGCTCTGTAATACTGGGTAAGCAGCCGTGGTATAAGCATGAGGAGGGGGTCTCCTCCCTGCCCCCCTCCTTCCCACCACCACCTTAAAGGATGGGTGGGTAATAATAAGAGAGTGCAAGGAGAGGAGGAGGAGGAAGAGGAAGAGGGAGAGGGAGAGGGAGGGCTGGCTGGCTGGCTGGCTTTTGTGCATGTGACTACAGTCTGGATGGATGGATTGTGTGGTCCTGGACACTGTTAAGAGAAGAGGAGGATGGTGATGTTTGGAGTGAGAAAACAGATTCAGTCAACGGAGGCATTGCGTTTTGATACAAAGTGCCATTACTTGGAAATGAATTTATTTGGAATCAACAGGGAAAAAAATGGGTGGCCTTAAGGTATCAACAAGATTTTCTGGGAGGAGGTGGTGGTGGTGGAGTGAACAAAAATTTTGTATGATTTAATCCGTGAGCTATGTTTGGTCCTGGAAAGACAGGTGTGTGTGTGTGTCTGGGGGGGGGGGGGGGGGGAGAGTCAGGGTGGATGGGATTTCTTTGTAGGGTGAGTCATGTGCTCAGACATGATGAGATAAGAAGAAAAGATGCTGTTATTATTTTATATGGATATTTCATGTAGAGGGAAGTGTGTGTGCATGTATCTTTGAAAAAAACTCTCTCTCTCTCTCTCTGTGAAATTGTGTATGGAATTCCAATGGGCTAAATAGGAGAAGAAAGGGAACCTTCCTTTCCCTTACATTATGTGTTCCTTTGCTCAGTCTAAACGTTTTGGTAATAGCCCATTCACCACCTTTTGTTTATAATATTTTTCTTTTTGTTTGTGGTTTCTGATACTATTTGTTAGCATCTACCCTGCTGTGATGTGGTGTGAACCTTATTCTGCAGGAATGCTTTTTTCGTTTTTTAAAAACAAGACCTTTGTGTGTGGCTGTATAGTTCCTCCGCCCCTAGGAATTTTACAGACTGGATTCATCAGTGCTTTCCCCCCAGAGAGGGGAGAGGGGATATATAAAGAATATTTATTTCAAAAGAACTGTGGTTGTAATCCTAACCATAGTTCTCTTTGAGCAAATGCTGTATTTGAGGCAGTGGCATTTACTTGTGAGTAAACATGGCTACATTTGTTCTTTTAAATTCACTTGGCTTTGTTGAAGTATTTTAATGCTGAATGGGGAACAAGGTCATTTCCATCTGGGGGAATCTCACCATGGGTAATCACCAAAATGAAATATGACATTCCTTTGGTTTCCTCAAGTTTTCTTTAATGCTGTGCTGTTTAGAAGCATCCTTCACAGTTTTATGCATCTGCTCTGTAAATTATATCATGCCTTTATGTGGTTTTTTGATATCTAGGTTCCTTCAGACTGTGTTTGAAATGAAATCATATAATACTGTAGACAAGTAGGTTGGCAGGTGGTAAGCATTGATTTTGCATAGAAAGATATTAGTCAGGGGAAAAAAAACACCAAGATTCGTTTTGTTTTGGCTTTTTAAAAAAAGAGGTGGCTTGAAACTGTGAAGAGAGGCATTTAAATGTATCCTGTAACCAAGTTCCTGCTTTAAGTTCCTGTTACCATTAGTGAAATCAGGACCTGGGAGCTCAGGTGCAGATTTTTGTATTTGGGTCATAAAAGACGAAGTTGAATCCACTGTGGCTTAGAATTCTCAGTTTATCTCAGAAAGATGCAATACATAAATCAAGAATCAAGTAAGTTCTTGCAGCTTCAATAGCATGGAAGGACCTCAGGTAGACTTTTAATTCAACCAACCGCAGAGTTACGAGTTGTAGCCCCTAGAGAAGAAAAGAAACAGAATTTATTTCTTAAAAGAAAAATTGAAACATAATGAGGAGAATATGATGCTTCATCATCCTTGTTGATATTTTGTCATAATGTGAGGTTCCAACTGCATGGTGTTCTGTGTGTGTGTTGTAAAATGTTGTGATTGATTTTATAGTAGTCATGAGAAAGAGCTTTCTTCCCTCTGGCTATGAGTAACTTATTTGAGTGACTGTAGACATGAGAAAAGTACAATATAACCTCCTTAGAATATAGCCTAAAAGTAGAAGCTATTCAGATTACTTTTTAGATTGCTGCTGAAATGCTTAGTTCAGATAAAGCCATGGAGAGTCCCTACATCTCTCTTTAAAAATGTTAGTCAGCTGTTGTGTGTGCATATCCACAGAGAGCGTAGCAGGCGGTTTTGACTTGTAGCTGAACCCAAATGCTTCTCTTGGCCAAAGGCCAAGATTCTTTACAAGAGACTGGGTTTCTTACTGCGGGATTTTAAACATCGGAGGCTACCCATACTTGGATAGAGTTAATAATACCGTAATTATAGTTCATCTGGTACCTCATGAACCTTTTAAACTTGTTTGTTGATGACTTTTAAAAAAAAATGGTAAGAGATTAAACCTTCCACAGAAAATTGAGGCAATTGGGTGCTCAAGGAACAGAATTCCATTTTCAACCCTATAAGGCTGTAGCTTGAATTCTTATTGGAAAACTCATGTGTTGTGGCAAGACTCTTTTCAACATAAAATGAAAGCATGAGCAGTTGTGGACCTCTCCTTGAAAGTATGGTAGGAGATACAGTATTGGGGTTTACTCCTGTGTCCATTGTAAGAAAAATGGATGTATCTTTTACATTTTGTTTACAGTTTGCACCCAAAAAAATCCACCCTAACAATAGTTGTATCCATTTTTGTCTTTTAATGTGCCTGCCTGCTAAGTCAAAAATGGAGAATCTTTGAGTCCAATTTTGCCTGTCAAGTCTCTCCATAAGCCTTCTCCTCATCCCCTCTTGCAATTAGAAAGGAACAGGAGAGTAGCTCTAAGGTGCTTGCTTCAGGATGTAGGAACTTGGTAAATGTGAGCAATCCTTATACTTTTTATTTTACATGAAGTACGTTTGGCTGGGTAGGATTCTCAAGGTAGGGAGGTTGTAAAGTCCTAGGCTAAAGCATTTGGAATGATATGTAGGTCACTAGGTAGGTAAAGGAAAAACTGTCTTTAAGTTAGAGTAGGGGTAGGCAGCCTTTCCCCTTTAAGGGCCGAGGGACTTCAGTTCCCAGAAGCCTCAGTCATGTTGGTCAATAGTCCCATGTTGGCAATAGCTCCTGGGATTCTGGGAGCTGAAGTCCCTTGGCCCTTAAAGGGGAAAGGTTGCCTACCCCTGAGTTAGAGCTTCTGATCTCACATAGCACAAAGCTTTAGCTATATTATAAAGCTGTTTGTACAGTACAGAAAACATGCTTGAAGATATTTTGGCTAAACTTTGTTGGATAACTAACACTGGTATAATTACCCAGGCATGGGCAGCCAAAGGAGCCCTGGTGGCACAATAGTTTAATGCCAGTACTACATCCACAACATTTTGAGTTCGATTCTGAGGAGCTCTAAGGTTGACTCAGCCTTCCATCCTTTTGGAGGTCGGTAAAATGAGTACCCAGCTTGTTGGGGGCAATTGGCTTACAGATAGTAAAGCGCTTAGAGACTGCTTAGTTCAGTATTAATCAGTATAGAAATGTAAATGCTATTGCTATTGCCAGTGGCAGCATGGTCAGGGCAGGAGGAAAAAGACCATGGTTTCCAGGTCATTGTCTAATCTCTCAAACCACTTAAGCACTGAGGACACTCCCTCTCAACTGAGAGGCATTGGAGAAATTGTCTCTGTGGAGCTGGCAACTTTTTCCTCCTAATGACAATAACTTTGTCTCTTTTCACTCACTGCCACTGTACAAACCTGGCAAAAAAATGCAGCCATCAAGAATGTTAATTTACAAAATTATCTGCTTAAAGAGTATAATAATAACACAAAAATCCATGTAATTTCTTATCATTTTTAGTTGTGCTGCCATTCTTCATCAAAGGCCGATGTAAATTATCCCTTTATTAAAGTTGGTATTGAGGTTGGGAGAGAGTGCCTGATTGACAGCCACTCAGTAAGTTCATGGCTCAGGTGGAGACTTCTTGGCTTACAGTTTACATCTTTTGCTCCTTTGCTACAGCAGTTTTCATTCATGTTGAACTGTTCATTCAAAATGTAGGAAGGTGAC